TGTTTAAGACTAAGGCTCATGGTAAATGTAAATCCTTTTAAACTCATATTTTCTCATTTGTCCATCCATAAATCAAAATCAAAATTCTTAGCCCACCTTATTATCACACATTCTTTAATTGTTCTTCCTCTGTTTCAAATTTCAAGAAATGTTTATATATAATGACAATTACATCATCACCATTTGAAGCACAATGCTTTGCTCCTTACCTTAAATCTTTTTGTCAATTTTTAATCACTGCACATGGGAAAACCATTGACAGATATATTCTTGTGCTATTAATTGCTCTCTTGATTTAATTTTAAATCCCCCTTGATGGTTTTTCAGTAATTTCCAATATATGAACCATTTGTTCTTGCTTGTTATTTCTCTTATATGATATGTCTCTTGTATTCAGGCACTATATGTATTGATATCTTTTCTTCATCCTCAATATAGCATGTCTAATGAATTTTTGAAATTCACATTAACTTTAATTCTATCATACAATAAATATGCATGCCATCTAAACTATTCTCCAAGGCACCTGAGGGTAGAACAAGAAGCAATGTGTGGAAACTAATCAAGGAGAGAAGCAACTTAGAATTGAGGAGAAATTTCCTGACAGTTAGAACAATTAATCAGTGGAAAAGCTTGCCTCCAGAAGTTGTGAATGCCCCAACACTGGAAGTCTTTAAGAAGATGTTGGATAGCCATTTGTCTGAAATAGTATAGGGTTTCTTGCCTAGGCAGGTGGTTGGACTAGAAGACCTCCACGGTCCCTTCCAACTTTGCTATTGTATTGTATTAATAATAACAAAAATAATAATTGCAAGTGTTCATAGAATAGAGTTGTCAGTCAAATTAGCATTTCAAAATCTCCTCTATCTAGTGATTATGTTGAATATAACAATTAGAGAAATGCAGTAGTTTGTAATATATGTTACTGAATGATTAAATAATAGATTTTTGTCAAATATTTATTAAAGAAACATCTCTCTTGGAGCAAAAGCAGAAACAGTCTCAGATAAAATATCTCACAATCTTCCAGCTGATACAAGAAAAAAAATTGCAGCAATGATGGAAAACCCAAATCAACATATAAACCACTCTGTGTAAGTACTTTTTGATGTATTCTAAAATACATGAGATTTTATTTCTTATATATATAACTAGAAAAAGATCATGAGTGTATTATATTTGCAAATATTTTATATTATATAGGTGCCATAATTTATTTCCATCCCTCCTTCCTTCCTTCCTCAGTAGAAAGAATATATTACTTCACCTTCATGTTGGTATTAAATCCTTATATAATGGTCCCTAAATTGAACTAATTACTGAATTATAACCTTCTGGATAGCATTCTTCATTTTTATAAATGCAAATCAATCATCTGCAAAGGCCTTTAAGAGGAACAAATAGCCAGTTTCAAACAGAAAAATAACAAAGCTGGAGTTACCTATAAAGAATGGGGGAAAGATTACATATTGTGGCTATTATCTTTCCACCCTTGTTAAACATACAGTATTTTTAACTGATACTATGTGCTACAGTATTCAACAAATACACTCACATGTAGCCTTGGTTGTTTTTATTGTATAGTACTATTAAAGAAGCTGAAACCTGTGCAAGTAATCCTCAACTTGCAACAATTAATCATTTGAAGTTAAAACAGCACTGGGGGAGGGGGGGAAGGTTTATGACTGTTTTTCATACTTATAACTAATGCAGCAGCCCCATGGTCACCTGATCAAATGTCAAACACATGGTAACTGACTCATATTTACGATGGGTGCAATGTCCAGGGGTTATTGTGATTAACTTTTACAACCATCTGACAAGCAAAGTCAATGGGGAAGCCAGATTCATTTAATAATCATGTTACTAATTTAAGAACTGCAGCAATTCCCTTAACAACTGTGTTAAAAAAAGATCGTAAAATGGGACAAAACTCATTTAATAACTGTCTTGCTGAGCAACAGAAATATTGGACTCAATTGTGGTCATAAGTTGAGGACCACCTGTATATATGTCAAAATCTCAATTAAGCAATGTTTTTACTGTAGTTGGATCATAGAAAATTCTTTAAAGATTTAGATAAATAGTTATCCATCCTAGACTTTGTTTTAATAGAAAAATGTAACCCTTCTGATACCAACATTGAGAATACATTGATGATGGGCTAGCTGTCCTCAAAATTTCATAACATTGAAGAGCAATAAATTTAAAAAGAAAATGAACATGGAATTTGCCAGCTGGGAATTACACATAAATACTTATAATTATAATAGTGAGCCAATGTAGTGAATCAAATAGAGTTTTGGACTGAAACCAGGGAGACATGTTAAAATTGTGAGTCACTTATGGTGCTGGAATGACTTTAGCCAGTCATTGTATGAGAAAAGAGAGATCAATTATGACCATCAAACATTGTAAATAAATTGCTATTAAATATGCTTAAATCATGTTGTTCCTTACCTAGGATGCTTGCTGGAGTATATCCACATTATATCAAAGCACCTAGTGATAATGCTGCAAAGCCTATAAAACAACTTTTGGAAGGTATGAATTTTCAGCATTCTTTCAATTGATAAAATATTGTTTTGTAATTTATGAGTCTCCCATGTTGCAGATTAAGGGATGGGGATGAATCATACTTAGAAACAAAAAAAATTAAATGTTTCCTTTTGTGGTGCCTCAAAGGTTTTACAATACAATACAATAGCAGAGTTGGAAGGGACCTTGGAGGTCTTTTAGTCCAACCCCCTGCCTAGGCAGGAAATCCTATACCATTTCAGACAAATGGCTATCTTGATTCCATCCCTCTGTTTATGTAGTCTAGAACTGTGTTGGCTTTTTGGCAGCTGCTGCACACTGCTGGCTCATATTTAAATGGTTGTTCACTAGGACTCCAAGATCCCTTTCACAATTACTACTATTGAGCAAAGTACCACCTATACTGTACCTGTGCATTTCATTTTTCTTGCCTAAATGTAAAACCTTACCCTTTTCACCATTAAATTTCATTTTATTACGTAGTGCCCAATGTTCAAGTTTGTCAAGATCCTTCTGTATCTTAAGCCTGTCTTCTGGAGTGTTGGCTATTCCTGCCAGCTTGGTGTCATCTGCAAATTTGATGAGTTCCCCATTTATTCCCTCATCCAAATCATTGATGAAGATGTTGAATAGTACTGGGCCTAAAACAGAGCCTTCGGGTGCATACTTCCCTCCATGTAGATGCAGTTCCATTGAGGACTACACATTGAGTGCGGTTGGTCAGCCAGCTAGATAGATAGATAGAGATAGAGATAGAGATAGAGATAGAGATAGAGATAGAGATAGAGATAGAGATAGAGATAGAGATAGAGA